CACTTGTTGGTTCGGTGGCTGGCACTTCTCTAACGCTTGTATTTCCACCAATGATCGAGTTATTGTGCTCTTACTCAAAGTAAGGTTACTTCTGTTGTTTATTCTGGGATAGAGAAATTTTCACCAAATTCTAGGGACTCTCTAACACCGTGGATCTGGATTCGAAACATTTTTCTGATGCTATTTGCTCTGTTCGGCTTTGCAACCGGCACCTACGCCAGTATTGTACAGATTGTGGAAGCATTTGGAAAGCCAGATGTCTGATTGCAGAAAATTGCAGAGGTTGAATATGGAAACTTTTAAAGAATCAAGCCGTAGTGCAAAAGAGCATATTGATACGTCGCCTGTTACCATCATCACCACCATTTCTTGTTGAATGCTAGTCTACCAATTATCTGTTGTGTTGTCATTGTTTTATGAAAAAAAAACTTTCAAAGAATCCTATGTCTGCCAATTAGTTTTACTTCTAAAAAAATTAAAGCAGAAGCCATTGCCAGTTTTCAAAAATTTACAATCATAAGCAAAATCACTTAGTTAAATGATTAGTATATGATCATTGTCAAGGCCACGGGGACAAACCTTACAAACTAAGTCTTACCCTAGGTTAAACATAAGTATTGTAGAAAAACGTAAAACTACTAGTTTAATGCAGTTTTCGGTAGAAGCAGGTCCTCGTCGTTAATCCTTTTTTATTATCTCGAAGGCAAATCAAATAATTCTTCTGAATTCTGCAATATTCTAGCTTGCAGAAAGATCGTTGAAAGCTTGTATTTTAGGGTAAGGGGTATGTGCTGGATGCTCAGTGTTGAAAAGGATCGTAGCTCATTTATTTATCCATAAGTTTTATTGTATTGCTACAAACTAAACGCCTCCTTACATGTAATTTTTTTGGTAAATACACCTATGGTAAACTACTCCTAGCGCCATGGACGTTTTGAATTGCACCATGAATCTCCAAGAATATTTCTTATAAAAAAGAGTTAGTTGAATTATAGGACTGGTGATTGGGGTCAATTTTTTAAAATATCGAATAAGAAGTTTGGAATATGATATGTCAATAACTCATTAGTGCAAGCGATTTTGTCAACACCAATTGACTTCTGTACGTCTTTGCTAAAAATTTTTGATGAATTCTCGGTCTACGCCTTCTTTCGATAGAAATCAATCAAAGTGAAAAGTCAAGAAATCCTTTTATATGAGTTTATCTTACAGGGAAGGCAAGATAGGGAGGTAGAGCCTGCGGCGCGCTCCCGATGGATTTTGAACGAATTACCAAATTGCTAACTTCAGCATCAAATTTACAGCCTCATTATGTGACGGCTGTGGCTTTAGAATTGGATGTTATTCGAGTCTTAATGAACTTTTCCTCATTGGCAAGTTGGGATTAACAGCAACTGTTCTAATTTCGCTTCAACGTGTGGTTGGCCTCGTATTCTCTGGCGTCTTTTGCTGAGATAAATAACGTGTTTTAAAATAATAATAAGTCTTCGGCTTTGTCAGATTTTATCTATTTCATTCCATTGATATAAATACAATTATTATCGTTGTAGCTCTTTTGAAATTGATGAAAAGCGAAGTTCAAACTGATAAAAATGTGAAATCCGACGCCTTCCAGAGGTTTGCACCATTCGAGTGCAATTGTCTGTTTGCTAACGTTAATGTGCAGGGCGTATCGACTAATATAGGGTTGTGGTAGGCTATGGCTGACTTTATTGTCTTTTGCTACTGAATATAAAGAATGGGTAAGG